TTTAAAAAATAAAACGTTAAAATTTGTTTATAATAATTAAGTTATGATAATTATAAGTTTTGCAGTTGTTTTTAGTTTTTATTAGGGATGCACCGGAGTTACTGCTCACCTACTGCCTCCGGCCGATCCGGCCTATGCGGCAGCATATCCGGCTCCGGCCAAATTTTTAAACTGATCCGGCAACAACGGCCGGATTGTGGCCGGATTTTTTAAATTTAAAATAAAATATTTTTTCAAATATTTATTATAAAAAAAATATACCTATATTCTTTTACAAGTAACAAACAATTTTTTTAGAAATAATTTAAAAATAGATTAAGGATTAAACTTCATGATTTAAGCGAACATAAGATAACGAAGTCCCTAAGTTATAGTGCAAAAATTCGAGTTGTTCACCTTTCTCGGAAAGAAATCGGCTATGCGCAGTTAACAGGTGATTGTATCTATGCGCACGTACCAGACGCCGTACGTATGCGCAGTGGTTTTCAGATGGTTGTATTATACCTATTATAATTATTGTACCTCTGTTTTTTAATTTTTAACTTTTAGATTAGGTATAATAATAAATATTATTTATTTATTTTTATGTTACCTATTTATTATTTTTTTAAACGTTTTATAAAGATATACTTTTTAATATATTATTGGTTTTAAAAACTTTTATTTATTGATAAATATATATGTTTTTGTTTTTTCCCCTAAAATAGCTATTTAACGAACTCATTTGAGTCCGTAAAATAATTCTTTTTTTTTACTAGTACGAAAAAGTTGCTATGGAAACTTTTGCAAAATGGTTCTTGAACCATTGCAATACAACAATTTAAAATAAAAATTCGATAACTGTCACTGACAGTGACTCACTGTCACTGTCAATAACCTTAATTTCGAGAAATAGGTATTTACTCTATTTAAATATTTGAATATATGGACCTAGAACAAAAAAATGTTTTTTTTTTTTTTTTATTGATATACATAAACCTAAAGAACCCATTGTGGGTTATAACAGGTACATTTTGTTTGTTTGTATATAAATAAATGTAATGTGTAAAACAATGTGTATATATATATATATAACTGTATAAATAAATAGAATATAGATATAAATATGTAAATAAAAGTCTCGTTTATATCACAGATCTTTCCTAGTACTAATTATATGCTGGACTATCATTTTTTTGAATTGGCTGTCAGTCATGTTTTTGTAGCTCTCGGGTAAATTGTTGTACAAACTAACTCCTCCTGAAGCCAGTCTTCTCTCCCCTTGTATTATAGCTGTGGAGCTCACTATTCATTTTGGCATTCAAGCCCCGTGTTTGGTGGACTATTTTTAAGGTTTCAGTCTGCCTCAGTTCCTCTATGTTTAACAATTTTGTGCTTTGGTAGACATATGCGGTTGGCATGTCTTTTTTTAGATTGTACAAGATTTTTATGACCTTGTTTTGTTGTCTTTGTAGGTAGTTTAGGTTAGATTTGTCTCCTGTTGCCCAAAAGGTAATGAGGTAGGTTAGTTTTGGCTTTATGTACGCGTGGTAGACTATGTTTTTTTGTTGTGTAGGTAATGCATTGTTTAGTTTGTGAGCTAAGCATGTATATGATGCTAGAGTTGTGGCTAGTTGTTGTATGTGGTTCTTCCAGGTGAGACGTCTATCTATGGTAAGTCCTAGATATTTTATTTGCTGTACTTCTTTCAAAGTTTTGCCCTTTAATTTTAATTTGTTGTTGTGTGTCTTTGGCCTTTTTTCTATGTGGATTATGTAACATTTGTCTTCGTTTAGTGTTAAGAGATTGTCGTTTGTCCATTTTTCCAGTTTTTCCAGGTCTTGCTCCATATTTTGTTGAGTGGCTTTATCATTATTGTTTACATAGAAGATTGCGAGGTCGTCTGCATACATCATATGCTTTCCATTTAGATTTAATTTGTATAAGTCATTAATGTAGATGATATATAGAAATGGACCAAGTATCGATCCTTGAGGCACTCCAAAGTCGACATTTTGGACATCACTATGCGTTGATCCTATTGTTGTGTACATTTTCCTTCCCTTTGAGTATGATGTAAGCAAAGCCAGGGCATTTTGGTGTATTCCAGCTTCCTCCAATTTTTTGCCGAGAGTGACCAAATCCACTGTGTCGAACGCCTTTTTGTAGTCAAATATTAGACCAGTTACGCATTTTCCGTTGTCCAGTTGTGTCTGTGTAAATTCTAGCAGGTCGATCAAGGCCGTTGTTGTCCCTCTATTTTTTCTGAAACCGTGTTGAGATTGTGTCAGAAAATTTATGTTTTGTATGTGATCATATAATCTATTGTGTATAACCTTTTCAAACACCTTATTTAAAGTAGTTAGATTTGCTATTGGTCTGTAGTTGCTCGGATCTTGTCTATTTTCACCTTTCCAAATGGGTGTGATTCTCGCTATTTTGAGCTCTTCTGGATAAGTTCCCTTTTTGATGTGTTCGTTAATTAGTTTTACTATTGTAGGTCCTATTATGCTTACCAGATTTTTTAGTAATAGTGGTTTGATGTTGTCGTATCCTGGTGACTTGTTGTTGTTCATGTTTTTTATTATGGTTTCTATTTCCTTAAGGGTGGTGGGTCTAAGGTACATTGATGCAGTGGGTTTTTGTTCGGTAGGATGTGCCAGTTTGGTCTGTCTTATTTGAGAAGCAAGTTTTTTCCCTATTGTTGCAAAAAAATTATTTATGCTGTTTGCTATCTCTTTAGAGTCTTTTGTTGTTGTTCCTTTTTCTGTGATAATCTCTTTAATTTCAACTTTGTGGTTGTTTTCTGTATGCTCGGTTTCTTTGATTATTTCCTATATTTTTTTGCCATTTCCATCAGCAGCTTCTATTTTGTGTTTATAATACATTCTTTTTTCATGTTTGACCATGTTTTTAACTCTGTTTTTTAATTTTTTAAACTTACTTTTTAGATGGTTACAGTCCCTGTTTTTTACCATGTTTTTGTAGGCTTTGTTCCTTAGTTTAATTTTTTTATAAAGGTTTTTTGTCATCCATCCTTGTTTGTTTGAAATTGTGTAGTAATTTGTTGTGATTTTGGTGCATTTTTCTGTTTCAGCCTTTATTAGATTCTGCAACATGTACCTAAAAATCATGTTTTATAGGACGAATCGTAGCTGTTTGCGGTCGAGGCGAAGCCAAAACCAGAACAGCCGATGTTACAAAAATAGCTATAATAATACGTATACGTATATAATACATATATATATATATATGTATAATTATATTACTTTTTAACTAATATAATATGTATATATATATTAGGGTGCTTCATTTTAGAGCGACATTTTTTTTTCAATGTCCCACCTGAAAATCTTATAACCGGTCAGAAAACAAAAATTTTGAGCTATTACAAAGCTCTTAATCTTTATTTTAAGCCGTTGCTATTCAATTTTTAAATATTTCCCTTTAAAAACCATTAAAAAACAATGTTTTATTCTTTTCTCCCTCCGCTCGCACAGTAAGAATATTTTTTTCGGATTTCGGTTCTAAAATCTTTATACATGATGAAATTATCTTCAAAAATGTCTATTTAAGCAAGTCTGTAAGTTGAATATGTTCTTCACAAATTGCTGTTCTACTCGAAAATCTTCTACAATAGCAGTAAATCGTATTTGGAGACTAAAGTATTGATTGTAGATAAAAAACGTAAATAACAATTTTGTAGGGATTATTGTGCTCTACAAATTTGTCAAAAAATATTTTTCTGTATCACTTATAGTTTAGCTTGTACAGCCACTCTTTCACGTAACTCTAATAGTATAGTTATTACAGTCAGAAACTGAATTTTTAAGAATTTGACACTTTGGGTGGCTGTACAAGCTAAACTATAAGTGATACAGAAAAATATTTCTTAACAAATTTGTAGGGCACAAAATTCCCTACAAAATTGTCATTTACGTTTTTTATCTACAATAAATAGTTTAGTCTCCAGTTACGATTTACTACTATTTTAGATGATTTTCGAGTAGAACGGCAATTTGTGAAGAACCTATTCAACTTACAGACTTGCTTAAATAGACATTTTTGAAGATAATTTCATCCTCTATGAAGATTTTAGAACCGAAATTCGGAAAAAATATTCTTACTGTACAAGCGGAAGGAGAAAAGAATAAATCATTGTTTTTTAATGGTTTTTAAAGGTAAATATTTGAAAATTGAATAGCAACGGCTTAAAATAAAGATTAAGAGCTTTGTAATACCTCAAAATTTTTGTTTTCTGACCGGTTACAAGATTTTCAGGTGGGACATTGAAAAAAAAAATGTCGCTCTAAAATGAAGCACCCTAATATATATACATATTATATCAGTTTTAACGCGCCAAAATAACAAGTAGGTACATGACAAAACCCTGGTGTAAAAATAAAAAAGACAATGCGCCACCTAATAATGATTACTTATAAGGTGGGCAGGTACCTAAAATATAAACACTTTTATTTATTTTTAATACGACTAGAATGCATGCGTAAAATGCAAGGTCTGTCAATTTTTCTCCTTGTTTTAAAAGACAAATGATAATTTACTTTACATGTATTGTTGGTTGCCTGTTCGGGAACAGGATCCCCACATACCACATCAACACGTTATTGGTAACTAAGTGCAAGATTTGCATAATACTGAAACAGAAACTGCAACTGCCTGTGTAAAAACACTGTAAGATCCGGCCGACTCCGGCGAAATCCGCCAAAATCCGGCCGGAGTTAATCCGGCCGATGAAGCCGGATTACTGCATCCGGTAATCCGGCCAAAATCAAATCCGGTGCATCCCTAGTTTTTATGCTTACTACAGCGTGGTATACGTACGCCACCCTGTTTAAAGAAATTCAGTTTTAACCCAACATAAAACTTAAATTTGGTGCATTTTAAGGTATTTGAATTACCTACATGGCTAATTTGATTTTAAACCTTGTGTATACATTAAACATGTTTAAAAACAAACACAGCATTGACATAATTACTAATTTTTATATTTTTATTTTTAGATAATCAAAGGAGAATTAGGGCAAATGACAAACCATTTAATGCTCAGTTTAAATATGCGGTAAGTAATTCATATTATCAATACTTAAATAAAATATCAATAATTTCCGCTGAAGGACTGAATCTATATGCATTAGGGTGATTCATTTCCGCAAAGTTTTTGTTTTCTTCGGTGCTCAAGCAAAATATTAATCTGCATATAGAAAAAAAATTCTCAACAAATTTGAGCTCTTAATATCAATTTTAAGTACTTGCAGTTTAAATTTAAAGTTTTCCCATTTAAAATGCATGTAAAAAAATGTTTTTTTTTTTCAAATTTCTAATGCTTACCCACCTTTGACAATATTGCAAATCGGTTTAATACACCTTATGGGGAATTTCACGCTCTTTAAAATTGCTTTTCAGTTTTTTTTTGTAACTCGCATTGGTTCACCAGTAGGAGTCGTCAAAGGACAGTTTTTGAAAAAAATCGTTTTTTTTGAAATTTTTTCTAACAAACCGCAAAAAGTAGGGAGAAAAGTTTTTGTTTTCTTCGGTGCTCAAGCAAAATATTAATCTGCATATAGAAAAAAAAATTCTCAACAAGTTTGAGCTCCTAATATAAATTTTAAGTACTTACTATTTAAATTTAAAGTTTTACCGTTTAAAATGCATGTAAAAATATATATTTTTTTCAAATTTCTAATGCTTACCCACCTTTGACAATATTGCAAATCGGTTTAATACACCTTATGGGGAATTTCACGCTCTTTAAAATTGCTTTTGAGTTTTTTTTTGTAACTCGCATTGGTTCACCAGTAGGAGTCGTCAAAAGACAGTTTTTTGAAAAAAATCGTTTTTTTAAAATTTTTTCTAACAAACCGCAAAAAGTAGGGAGAAAAAAGGGCTGAATCATAAAAAAAAGTTATCCAACCAATATTTAATGAATTTACAGCCATTTTTATAACTGAAAACGTAAGAAATTGATAATTACCAACTCATAATGTTATTTAGATTGATTTTTTCTATTTATTATCATTATTTCCCTACACTAAGAAGTTTTTTAAAATTATTAATTTCTCACTTATAATGAATATGAAAACAACAGATAAATTCATAAAAAAATAGCAAAAAAATATAAATGAAGATTATTTAATTTTTTGAAGCGAAATTTGAAATATGTTACATAACCTTTTGTAAATTCCGATTAAAGTTTTGTTGTTTTTTTTATGAATTTATGTGTTGTTTTCATATTCATTATGAGTGAGAAATCATAATAATTTTAAAAAAGTTCTTAGTGTAGGGAAGTATAATGATAATAAATAGAAAAAATCAATCTAAATAACATTATAGGTTGGTATTTATCAATTTCTTACGTTTTCAGTTATAAAAATGGCAGTAAATTCATTAAATATTGGTTGGATAACTTTTTTTTTATGAATCAGCCCTTTTTTCTCACTACTTTTGGCAATTTGCTCGAAAAAATTAAAAAAAAACGATTTTTTTCAAAAACTGTCCTTTGACGACTCCTACTGGTGAACCAATGCGAGTTACAAAAAAAAACTCAAAAGCAATTTTAAAGAGCATGAAATTCCCCATAAGGTGTATTAAACCGATTTGCAATATTGTCAAAGGTGGGTAAGCATTAGAAATTTGAAAAAAATATATATTTTTACATGCATTTTAAACGGTAAAACTTTAAATTTAAATAGTAAGTACTTAAAATTTATATTAGGAGCTCAAACTTGTTGAGAATTTCTAAAAATGGTAAGCATTAGAAATTTGAAAAAAAAAAACATTTTTTTTACATGTATTTTAAATGGGAAAACTTTAAATTTAAACTGCAAGTACTTAAAATTGATATTAAGAGCTCTACCTTGGTGAAATTTTTTTTTTCTATAGGTAGATTAATATTTTGCTTGAGCACCGAAAAAAAACAAAAACTTTGCGGAAATGAATCACCCTAATATGCATATAAACTGAATAGTTCGATGACGTTATTACTTCTGTTTTAACGAACAAACAATGTAGTAAATATTACAAAATTCATTACGATTTTTTAAAATAATAATAATAAGACTTATTCTGCATAAAATCATATACAATGTTTATAGAATTAATGTGGTGAAGATTTTTGTGCTGTGCATTTTATATTACATTTTACAAAATATTTGTTTTAAAATTGGAGCCAGATATAACATAGGAAATGATTTTGAATTTTTGTTTAGTTATAATTTATAGATGGTAATTATATTTTAATTAAATAGTTATTTATGTCATTAGGCTGAGAAATGAGTCTTTTTGTGCAAAGCTCAAAGTATGGGTTGGGACATAATGTTGAAAATCATTGTAAAACTATAGTTTTACACTTGATTGGTATAATACTTGTTGCTCTTAAACACGTCTAAAGTTGCCATTTTCCCTCAAAATTTGATATATGCAGGTGAACATTTGACGTGTAGGAGCTATTTTGTTTGGAAATTGTCGTCGGTATTCATGCTCAGCCGCCTGAGCACGACCATTACATAATCCATACACGAAGTGTGAAATGTTCCATTTTTACAAATATTACTTAATAAATCTTCTTAGTTTCAAACACCCTGTTACTTATTACATTATTACAGTCACGGCCTACGCTGCATCTTTTTCTCTAGTTGTGATTTCATTATGAATCTTTATGCCAAGTAAGGTAATTTTTAAATCGATTGTAAGCGAAAACGGTGTACCTACGATATCGAAGTTTAACAAGAGGATCTTTTTTTGTGTAAAACTGATAATTAATAATCTGACATCAAACCCTGGCACAAGATACGTCCAAAAAGTTAAAGTAGTTTTAACCCCACTCCCTTTTTATCAATACATCTTATTGGCCATAAAAAGTGTTATAAAATTCTTAAAATTCACTTTTCTATCTTAAACGGGTTTGGTCCCTTAGGAAGCATTTCTTGACCTATGTATATAGGAACTATTTACTTATTTTTGTAAGTAGAATCTGATGCACGCTAAGTATGGGACACCCTGTATATGCAAAAAATAAAAAATGTGAACATACTCTAATTCTTTGACAGTTATAATCTTTTTACTTTTACTACTCTAGTATGTGTAAGAAATAAAGTCTTTTTGGTTTAAAACAATTATATTAAAATCAAATAGTTCAACAATAACAACTTATGTCTTAATTTATCGAGTGCTTCTTAAAGAGTGCCGCTTATATTTTTAAGCAACTGTGTGCTCCTCTAAAATGCTGACGACCACCATAAAGCCTCCACGTGCCAACCTTGTGGTCCCTCGTCGCACACAAAGAATGTTTAGTCGCCAGAAAATGGGATTTTATGTCTATGATTGTTAATCATATAATAATCAATAAATCAGCTACGGAATATTTCTTACATTCGGCCATCCTTACTTGCGGGATGTCCCAGACCGCTTCTTAACTAGCTAAAACAAACATATAACCGATAACATTCAGACAGTGTCGGACTAAACAGTTATCTCAATTCCGAATAAGTAGGCAGTATCGGCCTAAATATTCTCCCGACGACAAATAAGCAGTATCGGCTTAAATTGTCATCTCAATTCCGAATAAGTAGGCAGTATCGGCCTAAATATTCTCCCGACGACAAATAAGCAGTCTCGGCTTAAATTGTCATCTCAATTCCGAATAAGTAGGCAGTATCGGCCTAAATATTCTCCCGACGACAAATATGCAGTATCGGCTTAAATTGTCATCTCAATTCCGAATAAGTAGGCAGTATCGGCCTAAATATTCTCCCGACGACAAATAAGCAGTATCGGCTTAAATTGTCATCTCAATTCCTAATAAGTAGGCAGTATCGGCCTAAATATTCTCCCGACGACAAATAAGCAGTCTCGGCTTAAATTGTCATCTCAATTCCGAATAAGTAGGCAGTATCGGCCTAAATATTCTCCCGACGACAAATAAGCAGTCTCGGCTTAAATTGTCATCTCAATTCCGAATAAGTAGGCAGTCTCGGCCTAAATATTCTCCCGACAACAAATAAGCAGTATCGGCTTAAATTGTTATCTCAACCTAAAAATAAGTACATAGTATTTTAATCATCGTTAACCACTGTTTCATCTTATCAGTCGCTACTACCATACACAAGTTTTTGCCGTTAAAACTTTAAATGGTCCTCTATATTTGTGGAACAACTTTTTGGCGGACCCGGTAGAAATTTCACTTATTAATACGCGTCTAAATCACCCACATTCAAAACGTGATGATTTGCGTTGACATTTATCGTAACGTTCTTTCTGCTTGAGCTGGTCATGGTTAGTGCAATGTTTATTTTATCTTAATTAAACGCAGCACTAAGAACACTTTAGATTTCTTTTATGAAAGGGTCGCGTATGATTCACAAAATAGACTAAATGTCTTCAACGTAATGGCACTTGCACGATCGCTGATAATTCGCGGCGGTACACCGAATATACAGTGTATTCTATACACATTATATCCTTTTTTATTGATTGTTATTGATGGTTCCACAACACCCAAATAGTTTTTCACAAACTTGCAACAGTACCTTGCCAACTCGAAAACTTGCCTTTTTTCTTTAACTGTCTTTGGTTTCACTCAATCTCAACTCTAGTTAGGACATTCTCTTGCACGGCGAGGTCCTCTACAATTGAAACACTTAACTTGTTTTTGCTGAGTTCAACTAGTAGTCGCTTTTTGTTCTTGAAGTTCTTCTTCGATTCTAGATGCTTTACGACCCCCGTCACTCTTAAAACTTTTTGGCATGTTGCCCAGCGAACTTAAATAAGCATACAATTCATTTGTATTATTAAAGCGCGAGGAACGAACGGATCTTGCGATGTTTTCGTCTGTTATACCTCCGATAACAGCATCTACTAAATAAACTTCAGGTATTTTAATTTTTAAAGCTCTTAGCTTGTCCAACTTGTTAAAACAATATTCGCTAAAATTTTGATTACTTTGCGTTTCGTATGTGGCAGCATCTCTTAGCAATTTGGAAAATGGTAAAGGTTTAGTAAATTGCTTTACCAACAACTTCTTCATTTTCTTCCACTTCACCGCTAACTGCTCCTGTGAATCGTACCATCTTCGAGCCATACCCACTAATCGATTTGTCACTAATCTAATTATTGTCAAATCATCCCATTTATAACACTTAACGAGTTCATCAACACGGCGCACCCAAATTTCGATTGATTGGTCTGCCTTTTGCGGGTCAAACACGGGGATCATCTTTTCTTCTCCGTAGTTACTCGTACCGAAGAAATGTACATTACCCCTAATTGCCCGTCGCTTTTTCTGTCTCCTCGATGTCTCCTGCTCGTCATCGCTAGAACTGCTCGATGTATTCGATAAGGGACTTCTCTTGCGTCGAGCCTTTGTTTTCACTTTCTTCTGTTTCTTTTGTGGTGTAGATGGTCTAACATCGGAAGAATCGCTTGAAGATTCAGAGACAGGAACACTCATTGATGGGGACACTGGCGGAGTGGTTCCGTCGGGTTTCGACATAATAATGCAATACTTCGCAACACTTAAAACTCTTGTAGGGTTAACGTGTAGATATATCCCACTTCTGATTTGTAAGAAATAAAGTCTTTTTGGTTTAAAACAATTATATTAAAATCAAATAGTTCAACAATAACAACTTATGTCTTAATTTATCGAGTGCTTCTTAAAGAGTGCCGCTTATATTTTTAAGCAACTGTGTGCTCCTCTAAAATGCTGACGACCACCATAAAGCCTCCACGTGCCAACCTTGTGGTCCCTCGTCGCACACAAAGAATGTTTAGTCGCCAGAAAATGGGATTTTATGTCTATGATTGTTAATCATATAATAATCAATAAATCAGCTACGGAATATTTCTTACATATGTACTTTTCCTTGATTTTCAAACGATTTAAATAGGTACTTTAAAGGATATGGAACATAAACTAAAAACAGATGTTGTTATAACATCGTTGCGTCACGATCACTCTTCAAGGTCATAAACAATAAAAAATTGTGGAATGGTTTCAAGAATTTGTAGGCACATTGTAGATTGTACCCAGATTTACCCCCATTAACAAATAATTCCATCTTTTATCAATCGGGCCTTGGTAAGTTCCTAAGGCTGTAAAACTTTAGAAGATTTTTCCCTCTGCTCATATAATTTTCGCGATGGAAACCTCCTCGTCATCGCTATTTTCTATTATATCTAAGAAGTTTTTCCTATTCATGTTTAATTTTTGTGGCCTGCCTTTTCATTTTCTTGTTAAAATCCGTCCGTCCTGTAAAACGTGAGACTTTTGGAACCATATGTTGCATTTTAAATGTATGAGGTAGTTAAATAATAAAATAATTACCAATTAATGCCATTAAAAAGTTTATTTTATTCTTTGTAACTTATCACAAAGATCCCGGGATTTGAACTTTTGATCGGGTTTTTACGGGATTCCGGGATTTGCACCCCTAATGCGGAGCGATGTTGTTGGAATGCTTGATGTAATAGATTTAATAATGGTTTCTGCAAAAAAAAATCAAATCTTGTCTCAAGTCGAGCAGAGATGCGTGTCAAAAGCAAAACCACACACCTTATTAAATCTAAGACTGATTTTGAAATACGAATATCTCTCTAACAATTAAATGATAATTTTCCATTAAGATTTTATTCACTTTTTCCATGTTGATGGCCAGTCGTCTTCAACCACTGTGGCCAACCATTCGTATGACTAAATTCCCGAAAATTATCGCCATTTTGTGTACAAATTCACGAATAAAAATAAAAGCACAACTTTCTTCGTTTGTCTAAAATTTAAAAAGATTCTGGGGAATCAAAACTCGATTTTGTTAGCATCAATTATTGCTTCCAAGTTGAAAATGTGACAAAACAGTATTTCCGAAAAGATTTTAATCGGCATGTTAAACATAATTAAAAATGATTTAAAAAAGGCAAATGCAGTAAGAAAATAATCCTACCAACATTGTTGAAATTAGACTATTTTTTCGAAGGTCAACAGAAGAATAAACGCGTTTGGTTACATTACAACATATTTTTTCAGAGAACTCATTAGGTTATCTAAATTTTCCGAATAGAAGAAATTATATTAAAAAAAGTCAAAACGGATCTCATATGGCATAAAGAGCTTTACTTTTTATTTTATTTGCGTTTTTTTGTATCTTTTATCGAAAGAAAATAAATTTTTAGCACCCTGTATTTTGGAAATAAATATCCGTATATAAAAACCGTTATATTAAAACCTCGATTAAACTAATATTTTTAAAAGAAATATTTCCTGAAAATCCGTGGAAATATAACTAACGGTGATTTAATAGCTGTTACTCAAAAATAGCAATTAGCAACAGTTGCCTAATTTCGCAAATAACGGCGATTTCTAAAAATATGACAAAGCGCCGTAAGGCTTAAAGTTTAATTATCAAAATAAATGATAGCGCCATTTCTGGTTAAGATCTATTATCTAAAATAAAAGTTGCGATCGCGTTAGCGCTTTAAAATCCCTGATATTTAAAAGTCGCAATAATCTTAGCAGTGTTAAGCAAATTTCGCTGTTCGCTCATCACCATATCAGTCACTGTGGACTTTGCAAATGCTTTTTAAATGAGTTCTGAGACGAACCATATTGCCCTTAAAATTTTTAGGAGACCGATTTAAATAAAATAATATTATTATTGTATAGGGTTTTAAAAAAGAGTATTTTTATAAAAATCTGACAGCTATGAACTACCGTAGTTTGAGCTTAATTGTATAGTTCAGCCATTCCAAGGTATTTGGGAATTTTTGTAGCGTCCGTTATAACGGACGCTACAAAAATTGTGAGCAAAATTAAATACTATTACAATAGTTACTATTGCAAACATGTTTATTATTCTTGTAATAATTAGGCTTAAGCTTATAAGCATCATAATTACGGTAGTTTTACTCACAATTTTTGATTGCAACGGACGCTACAAAAATTCCCGAGTAACGTGGAATGGCTGAGTTGTTACTATAGTTGTCGCGGCGAATGTTTCAAATTGCGTCATCAATGTCGAATGTCAAAAACCGATTTCTCGACATATGGTTAACCTAGCGGTTCGTTGGATTATATACGTAAAAGAAAACAACAATAATTGTAATGTCTGTGCTTGGTTCAGAATTTGATGACGTAACTATATCATTGTCAATGTTTTTGGTTTTAGGTTAAGTTTTCTGTCATTCTTTTAGTTTGTCGCACGCCTTCTCATTCTGCAAAAGCACCCCTGTGATTGGCTTCTTTATTTAATTAATATCTAATTAAGGGTAGTCAGATCAAAAAACGCCAAAGGACTTTTTGTCTTCTTTTTGGCTCTACTATAAATCCTAGAAATATTTTACCTTTTTTTAACACCCTGTATAATTATTATTAGTTAGTAAAAGGCGTTTTTTAAATATTTAAAATATTAAAGTAACTTTTCGCTCTCCAGTAAATTTGTCGAAAACTAGATTTGCCTTTACGTATTTTTTTAGGCAATATATAATTTAAATATCATATTTATTTACACCATTAAAAAATGATACCCACATTTGCGTGACGCAAATTGCGACGCTGTTTTTTCCTATGTATATCTGTTATTTATAATAATTAAAATTTTTGCAGAGCAACTACATTAAGACCTCAAAGTACAGTGTGCTGACGTTCCTGCCACTGAATCTGTTTGAACAGTTTCAGCGCTTGGCCAACTTCTATTTTTTGTGCCTTCTAGTTCTACAATTGATACCGGCCATCAGCAGTCTTACACCAGTCACCACAGCCTTGCCACTCATTGGAGTGCTTGGACTCACTGCCATCAAAGATGCTTACGACGACATTGTAGGAAAAATTATTTTATTATCTATTATATTCTTTATTTAATTGTGTTTTGCTTTAGCAACGTCATATATCGGACTCTCAAGTCAATAACAGAAAATCTAGAGTTGTGCGCAAAGGTAAGCTTGTGCAAGAAAGATGGTCCGCCGTCCAGGTTGGAGACATTATCCGCATGGATAATAATCAGTTCGTGGCGGCAGATATACTTTTGCTGTCCTCAAGTGAGCCTAATGGACTTTGTTATATTGAAACATCTGAACTAGATGGGTAAGAAAATGGGTTTATTTTTGACAGCCACTGACTAAAGGCTCAAAACAAACATAAATAGTTCAAAGATAAATGCCTTATACAGTGGGTGCCAAATTATTAGCTACAGTAGCAATTTCTGGCAATAGTTGACCATTCTTGATTTTTTTATATTTGCTGTTGGTACTATATTCTTCACGTGATATTTTTTATACCCGTGAAAAATAGCGATTTTAAAAGTTTAAATTTTTTGTTTTTATTTTACATCCCGTATATTTTTAATGTATGTTTTTACTCTAATAATATTATATAATGGTAAAATATACAAAACATACCCAGTCAACAACATTTTTATTTAATTACAACCTTACAAAGTTAATCAATCTTGTACACAAATCAAATTGTTCTCTTCAATACAAAAAGATTACTAAAAAACTCCCACTTTGCTCAATGTTTATTTTACTAAAAACATATACTTTTAGTGGGTTTATGTAAAAGACAAACTCGAGGCTTGGTTGACCATATAAAATACATAAATTACGAATATAAACAAAACTAAACAGAGCGTCCTAAAATTCCTAAGTGACAAATAACTTAATAGCCAATATAACTTAAAAATAAATATTTAAAAATTAAATTAAGAACTGTTAAAAACAACAGATGGTGAAATATTGTCGGAATTACTAGTTGCGCGGAAAAAATAGGTTTAAGAAATTCGTATGTAAATTGTGTTCCGTGATCGTGGTATTTTAAAACATTAGATTATTAATTTTGGAGACACTTAAAATCACATACACAAATCGCATACAGCCAGATATGTAGCGCGTTCGAATTTTTTTCTAATATTTTATAAAGTTTTTGAGTTTTGGATTATATTGTAAATTGACATACCTTAAGTTTCTCTTAAAAATTAATTATTTTATCAAAGTATTTTATGTTTCTTGTTGCAATTCTTTGTAATTTAAAACATAAGATTATTAATTTTGGAGACAATTAAAATTACATACACAAATCGCATACAGCCAGATATGCAGCAAGCTCGAATTTTTTTCTATTGTTTTATAGTTTTTGAGTTTTAGGTTACATTATAAATTGACATACCGTAAACACGGGTGGCTTTAGCTCACTTTCAAACTTAAGATTAAAATTTTTTTGGTTTTAACAATCATAAACATTAAATTTTGTATACCAAAATTTGAGTCTTGAGTTGCTCTTTCATAATAACTATGTTATAATATAACATAGGGCTGAGTTTCAAAAATAAAAATTAAAAACTGGGTGTGCAAAGTTACCCCCTGGTTGCGGGTAACTTTGTCTCGCAGTGTATTTTCCGTATAAAATTAACTCAATATTTTATTTTATTTTTATTAGACACGTGTTAGCAGCGACATATATCTATTGCAAGGGATTACCGATAAAAAAAAAATTCGACCTGTAGTTAACCAAGGATCATCATTCCAAAGGATTAAGCATAAAATAGAAATTGTAACGCGTGTATTTCTAAGAGTTTTGCACTGATGCGATATATACAATTTTAAAGTGTAATAAATCCCATTTCTTTCTTTAAAACACTGATTTTCCTGTAATATACTGTATATAACTCAATAGAATCGCTCAATTGACAGGTTTAGACCAACAAATTATAAATGTTAATTTTATCGAGCGCGAAAAGATTTTTCATAAAAGGGTTAAAGTCACCCGCGGGGTGCAAAGTCACCCGTGTTTAGGGTACCTCAAGTTTCTCTTAAAAAATAATTATTTTATCAAAGTAGTTTATGTTTCTTGTTGCGATTCTTTGTAAACAGTTTTTTATTCTGAAAATAATTTAAAAAGTAAAAGCCTAATTTATAGATTGCCTTTCTCCCTTCCTCCCGTAAAAGATTAACAATACGAAATCCGTAGTTCTGTTTATAGATTCCCGTACCCTAAGAATGGTCGTTTTGTTTTCAACGCGCATGCTTACGTAATTGATATATTACAAGACATACAAATCGTACGGGCAAGCGGCCGGGGAGAAGGATCTAAAATCAGGCTTAAGTCGGCCATATACGTCCAAACACTGTGTTGCCAACTTAGTAATTTTTCCTAGTTCTAGGGATTTACGACTGTCAGAATTTTTAAAACAATCATGTATAGATTATTTGTTCAAAATTAGTACTGTTTGTTTCATTTGTTTAGTAATTTAAATAAAAACATTTGTATTTATACTCTTTTGTATAATTATTGTTAAAACTAATGAATTCTACGAATTTTTTAAATCAATTTTAGATTTTTAAAGTGTCCATTGCATAAAACCATAAAATAATTATATTTCTAGTAGGTACCTGGTTATAAAAAACCAACAAAGTTGTACTTTAAAAGTTTACAAACCTATATATTTTTAAATTATTGTTTAAACTCTAAAAATTTAAAAAATATAATAAAAAATTATAGATGACAGATCATAGATAATAAATCGGATGCTCCAGCGCTCATAAGTGCTCATAAGCGCTCATAAATGCTCATAACGATGAAATATAAATTTTTTTAAAAAATTATTGAAAAAAAAATTCCAATAAAATAGAGGTAAGTAAACCATTTTGAAATTGGATAAACTTGCACCACTTTTGTGACCTGCACATGTTCTGATGTAAAGAGTAGTTATTTGTTGGTTAATTTATAACTCCGCTTTTTAGTTTTGGCGACAAATTAAAATATCGAGCACTTTGGTAAATGCTCGAGCATTTATTTATAAGCGATCGAGCATTTATGAGCGCTTTTGAAAGTGCTCATTCTTCTCTAATAAAAATTAATTAAGTAAATTAAAAAAATATTGATGTTTAGTAGCGCAAATAGTACATAGGCGACTTAAAATTATAAAAAAGAAAACATTTCGAACATTGTACTTAAAAATTAATTAATTTAATTTTAATTTTTTTTTTATTTTCTTTAATAGTATATTACACTACAAGGGCAGAAAGTGTGAGATTCCTGCACTGCGCGCCATGATGCCCGAGGCGAAGCCGAGGGCATCATGGCGCGCTGTTCAGGACTCTCACACTTTCTGCCCGTGTAGTTTATACTATTTTTATTACTACCTCGGCCGAAAATACGGGAAAAAATTAAATGTGTAATTATGTACCTATCTCCATTTGAAGAGCTTGATAAATAAATAACAGTAGGCCGTGAATTCAGCGGTGCCAATACAGTAAAAATAAAACGTATTTTAATTAACAAATTACTACTTTATAACAAATAAAAGTACCATTAAACACTTAAAACAACATAAAAAGTAAAAAAGTAAAAACATAAATTGTTTATTTGTTGTTATAATTTCAAAATTATGGTTTAAAACTGTCATATTTTTGTGTTTCTCATGTTGGCAGTACGAAATTTGAATGTTAAGCACACGACTAAAAAATTTTTTCTTACTACCTCGACTGAAAATACGTTGTTTCGTCCCCGATTTCAAGGCAGAAAGTTTACGTTTCTTGCATTGGTCAAGCTATACGCGCACACTCTATAATAGCGGGAGTAAAACTTTTTAGTCGTGTGCTCAACATATCGTCACCCTAATATAACAAGGTTGTATGTTAAAAAACCGAAAAATTTTAGTTTATGCTTCTACAAGGTTTTTTGTAATCCACCCTTGACATACAACTTGAAAATAACTCTATATATATGTAAACATAGAATATACATTCTATAGAATTATTTTTAAGTGGTATGTGAAGCGTAGGCCACGTATAATCCTGTAGAAACGTAGACTTAAATTTTTCGTTTTTTTAACATACAACCTTGTTATATTAGGGTGACGATATGCAACTCTGATTACGACACTAATATAACCTCAAAATTTTGGCAGGCATCAATATGTTTCGATATACACATTTAATTTTTTCCCGTATTTTCGGGCGGGTTGTATTTTCGACCGAGGTAGTAAGAAAAATAGTATACACTACACGGGCAGAAAGTGTGAGAGCCCTGAACTGCGCGCCATGATGCCCTCGGCTTCGCCTCGGGCATCATGGCGCGCAGTGCAGGAATCTCACACTTTCTGCCCTTGTAGTGTAATATACTATTCTTACTACCTCGACTCAAAATACGTTGTTTCGTCCCCGATTTCACGGCAGAAAGTTTACGTTTCTTGCATTGGTCAAGCTATACGCGCACACTCTAATAGCGGGAGTAAAAATTTTTTAGTCGTGTGCTTAACATTCAAATTTCGTACTGCCAACATGAGAAACACAAAAATATGACAGGTTTAAACCATAATTTTGCAATTATAACAACAAAAAAACAATTTATGTTTTTACTTTTTTACTTTTTATGTTGTTTTAAGTGTTTAATGGTACTTTTATTTGTTATAAAGTAGTAATTTGTTAATTAAAATACAACCTTTTATTTTTACTGTATTGGCACCGCTGAATTACCATGACAACGCCACAGTTTGATTGATTTTGAATGTAAACGTCAGAATTAAATTAAACGTCAGATTTTAATTTTGACACAAGTTTTTTTATATACATTTAATTTTTTCCCGTATTTTCTGCGGGGTAGCAAGAAAAATAGTATACACTACACGGGCAGAAAGTGTGAGAGCCCTGAACTGCGCGCCATGATGCCCTCGGCTTCGCCTCGGGCATCATGGCGCGCAGTGCAGGAATCTCACACTTTCTGCCCTTGTAGTGTAATATACTATTTCTTACTACCTCGACTCAAAATACGTTGTTTCGTCCCCGATTCCACGGCAGAAAGTTAACGTTTTATGTATTGGTCAAGCTATACGCGCACACTCTAATAGCGGGAGTAAAATTTTTTTAGTCGTGTGCTTAACATTAAAATTTCGTACTGCCAACATGAGAAACACAAAAATATGACAGTTTTAAACCATAATTTTGCAATTATAACAACAAATAAACAATTTATGTTTTTACTTTTTTACTTTTTATTTTGTTTTAAGTGTTTAATGGTACTTTTATTTGTTATAAAGTAGTAATTTGTTAATTAAATTACAACCTTTTATTTTTACTGTATTGGCACCGCTGAATTCACGGCCTACTGTTATTTATTTATCAAGCTCTTCAAATGGAGATAGGTACATAAATACACATTTAATTTTTTCCCGTATTTTCGGCCGGGTTGTATTTTCGGCCGAGGTAGTAAGAAAAATAGTATACACTACACGGGCAGAAAGTGTAAGAGCCCTGAACTGCGCGCCATGATGCCCTCGGCTTTGCCTCGGGCATCATGGCGCGCAGTGCAGGAATCTCACACTTTCTGCCCTTGTAGTGTAATATACTATTTACTCCCGCTATTAGAGTGTGCGCGTATAGCTTGACCAATGCAAGAAACGTAAACTTTCTGCCGTGAAATCGGGGACGAAACAACGTATTTTGAGTCGAGGTAGTAAGAAAACATTTGTTATAAAAAATATTAATTTATTCACTGTAGGGCTAGAAATTAATTTTGTATGGTCTTAAATTAAACAAGTTAAACAATATTAAGTGAGGTAAACTAAAGAAATTAGAAAAAAGGCAATTTTATAATAAACTACTGCCAAAAGAAACAATTTGTGCGCAAAATTCCACGTCAATTTACAATAAACTACCCAAAACTCGAAAACTTTATATGGCCATACAAGAAAAATCAAGCTAACAAACATAGTGATGGTTTTATTATTAAATGGGTACACTTTAAGAGAAAATCCAAATTTAAATCAATATTTTTTTTATATTTGCAGTATTGGCTTTACCTATGTATACAGACTGTATAGAATCAAGTAAGTAAGGCTGGAGACAAGGATGACAAATTATATTCTGATCAGAGGAAAAGAAACAGACTTTAATTGGGCGTGGTTTAAACCAAGCCATTCGTAATTACGAACCATAGTTGCCAGGTTGTTTTAAATCAGAAGAGTACGATTATAATTATTTAATAAATAGTTCAATTTTATTTGTTTGAAACTTTAAAAATAACAAAAAAATTAATATTATGTCAAAAATAATTTGATTTAGTTAATTTTCTTACTTTTAATATTAAAAAATAAGAAAAACAACCCTTTTAGGAAACAATAATAGCATATGGCAACAGCGCGGCATGCCGCGGATCGTAGCTACACTGGGTAAAGGCCTATTTTGAAACATATTTTGAAATAAAGTTTGTATTTGGCGATACGATCTACCAGTGTGATGCCATACCATAATTTGGTATTTTTCCTCACGAGTAAAAACCATTTTATTTGAGAAAGTACTTAAATTCTTACAAAGACGTACGCAAAGTCTCAGTGCACAGACAGTGTTGCCAGTAGTAGAAAAATTAAAGTACTGAAATGGCAATAAAAACTTATTGAATTTGAAAGATAACGTACTGACTTTGAGAAATAAATATTAAACTTATATGAACGTAATTTTATTTTGTAATTTATCAATAAACACATGCACATAAATAAACTATAAACATCAAAAGAACAAAATAGATAATTATTATTATACCTATACAAAAAAACAATATTGTTGGTAAAATTAAAAAATAGTCTACCTATCGATAATTAATTTTCTTTTTTAACAAAGATTGAGGTATTTGGCTTCAATAATTCCTATTATTCCTATGAGCGGTTCTTGTCGAACTTGGAACAAACCTTATGTCAACACTAAGTAGACAACGCGCGCTACCAACAGTTTAAAACTTAAAATACCAGGATACTAAAATAACTCAGTATCACCAACATAAACTTTTAATTTTTTCTTTAATTTTTATTTAAATAATAAATCTAAAACTGGAAAACGTACCGAAAACCATCAACTTGCTTACTTTTTTTAAGTACTGAATTCGGTACAAACGTACTGACGCTGGCAACACTGCGCACAGATCATACGACAATGATACAAATTCAATCCCTACCACAGTGGGCGTGGTTTGGCACTTGTTTTATTTAAGTGTATCTATTCGTTTTAATACACACTGTATATGTCAATTTAAATGTAAATAACCTTGAAAAAGTCTAATATCTTTTAAAAAGTCGTGATTTTATTTTGTTTTTATACATAGCGTAAGAATTTAACTTACGTTAGTAAAGTTTTAATTTTGATACTTTTTTTATTTCTAACAGCGAGACCAACTTAAAGTGCCGCCAGTGTCTGTCGGAAACTGAAGTGATGGGTGAGGACAACGCCCTGTTGGGCGAGTTTGACGGCGAAATAGTTTGTGAAACGCCCAACAACCTACTAAACAAATTCGAAGGTGTTTTGGTGTGGAAGAACAAAACGCATTCGCTCGACAACGACAAGATTATATTGCGAGGATGCGTGCTGCGCAATACACAATGGTGTTATGGTCTGGTCATTTTTGCCGGCAAAGATACAAAATTAATGCAGAACAGCGGCAAGACCAAATTCAAGCGCACCAGTATAGATAGGCTTCTTAACTTTTTAATTATAGGTGTAAGTATGATTTAAAACTAATATTTTTGTTTTTAAAACAATGTATCCTGAAAGGCATTACAATTCATATTCGTCGATATTTTTTTTACATACCTACTCAATTATATAATTCAGTTTAAGGCATAGATAATAAATCATATAGATACGCCACTGTCACATATTTGACGCTCCTTGTTACGCACACTCGGCCCGCTATGCCGCTAGTGTACCCGCCTGACATTTATTGGTTTTAGGTTATGGTTTTAATTTAGGTTATCCTGTCAAATTTTGACAGACAAAATAGTAAAAAATAAAAGGCCTGATAGTTTGTTTAAATTGTTTATTTGAAAAGCAAAAATAAATGTATTATATTTTAAATTATTCAAGGTATTTACTAAACTAAACCAATTAACAATATAATAATGTATTCAAGTGAATTTTATCTTATTAAAGAACACAAATCAGTATAAAGTAATAATATTATGTACCATATTTGTGTAAGTACCTTGTTTTAATAAAATAGTTATAATTAAATAATACAATACAACCTTGTCATCATTGTGAAAAGTATGCATCATAACTTGACTGTTAGAGCAGCCCACAGCACAGCGCAACACCATGTTAATGTTCAAATAATGTAGCAATATTTAAAAATAGAGTACACAGATAACGATAAATCGCAATTTTAAAAGTTTTTAAGCGTACAGTTGTATTCAATAAAAAAGCGTACAAGAATTAGAATGAGAGAAAACTGTCAAAATAATATTATTGCTTAAAACCGGCTTATCACTGACATAAGGCATTAAAATAATTTCTATAGGTTATAAAGAGCATTGACGTCGTAGGTTAATTAAATAATATTACAAAAATTATTACCTTTTAGAAATGAAAAAAACAAACATTAAAAAAAATTTAATATTTAGTCATGCATCCCTGTTTTTCTATTACTTGAGCCAATCTATTTGGGATGAACTGAATTAAATTTAATACACTATTTGGATTAATATCTTCCCAGCAGTATAGTAGGTAGTATAGTTCTATATATAGTTTCCCATAAATCCTCAGATATCCCAAAAAAGCAGCATCCTGTTCAGGGGTGGACATTTTGGGACGACCTGAACCAACTTTTTGGTTTAGTAAATAATAATAATAATAATAATAATAATAAAACGTCTTTATTTGAGTAAAAATTATTTTTTACATTTTTCTTCAACTAGGCGAAGTCTAGCCTCAGGCTACTCCACTTAACCTAGTATGACAATTTTGGGTTACATCGAGAAAAAAAAAATATAACAAAACATTCTTTAACTAAATAAATTTTAAATTATTAACACTTTAATGCATACAAAAAATTTTGTTTTAGCCTACGCTTAAACGCAGCTAATGAAAGAGATTTTAATTCTTTGTTTACGTTATTATAAAGTACAACAGCATTATAGCTAAAAGAACGCGTAAACATGGATAAACGAAACTGTGGTAAAGATAAATTATTATTTTGTCTTAATGAAACCGAATGAAGATCTCTACGGAAAATAAGTTTTTCTCGCAAGTAGGTGGGGGTACTCGTCAAAATAATTTGGTGTACATACACTGATAAGTTTAACCTATACAAGTTTTCTAATTTTAACCAACCCAATTCTTCTATTTTTAGAGTAACATGTTCAAATTTTTTTAATCCAAAAATAAATCTGCAACACTGATTTTGAATTTTTTGTATACGATACAGAGTACATTTATCCAAACATGGAACATATAAAATATTACAATAATTAAGCATGGGCAAGAGTAATGTTTCACATAACTTTTTTCGCAATTTATAGTTAATTATGCTAATGTTACTATAAAATGTTTTAAGTAAGTTATAGGACTTTTGTACCAAAACAGAAATATGATCCGCAAATCTTAAATTTTCATCGAAAATTACTCCCAAATTTTTTACTTTACTTTGAATTTCAAGTAACTTGCCATCGACGTATATTTTTAAATTTTGTTTAACAAAGGCCTTAACGTTTTGAGATGAAAAACTAATAAGAACACACTTTGAAGGATTGAGTTTTAGGTTATTGTCCCTAGAATATTCCGAAATGCCTTTAAGATCACTATTTAATTGATTACACGCCTGGTTTATGGATTGTGGCTTAAAAGTATACAATAATTGAGTATCATCAGCATATCCTTGAGCTATTGAATATTTAACACAATTAAAAATGTCAGCAGTGTATATTAAAAATAATATAGGTCCCAGGACAGAGCCCTGGGGTACCCCAGAAGTTATAGCACAGGAATTGGATAAAATTTCATTTGCTACCACTTTTTGTGTTCTTTCTGTTAAATATGACCTAAAAAAATTACAAGATGTTAAGTCAAAGCCATAATATTCAAGTTTAGCTATTAATAAAGAATGGTCTAGAGTATCAAAAGCTTTAGAAAAATCAAGTAGTACCAATGCTGCGGCTAAACCCTTATCCAAGGCTGAAAAAATATTGTCCGATACGTTAAGCAATACAGAAAAGGTACTATGTCCTTTTCTAAAACCCGATTGGTAGTTAGATATGATGTTATTTTGTAAAATATATTCATATATTTGTGTTTTTAAAAATGATTCTAAAATTTTTGCTAGAGTAGGAATTATAGTAATGGGCCTTAAGTCTGAGTATGCAGTAGGTTTACTATTTTTAGGAAGCGGTTTTACCAAAGATAATTTCCACTGATCCGGAAAATATCCAATTTCTAAACAGCAGTTAATAATGTGCGTAATGTATTTACTTAATACAGGCAAACAATACTTTAACATAATTGCACTAATACCATCAGAGCCAGTGGCGTTTGACTTTAAATTCTGTATTATTTTGTCAATTTCGTCAACTGTTGCTAAATTAAATTTAAAGCTTAAATTGTTTTTAAATATTTTATTTTTGTACCAATTTACAGTATTTTGACAGTTGTTGGAAGGCAGAAATACAGAACTAAAATAATCATTAATAGCATTTGCGTTATTTAGGTTGTTTGGTATGTTGTGATTTGTTGTCTTTGTAATATTCAAATTATTTATTCCTTTCCATAGGGCCTTTTTATCATTACTTCTCTGAAGCAATGACAAATAAACCTCCTTTTCTCGCCTTATCGAAGCAACCACCAAATTACGCAATTTTGTATAGTTTAGCCAGTGATTAATATTTTTAGTCTTTTTATAGATACTTAGCGCAATATCTCTCTCCTTCATCATTTGTTTTATGGCATTGGTAAGCCATGGTGAATAAGGTTTAGTAATACGGGATGTTTTAAGTGGTGCATATTTATCAAATAAGTACAGTACTGTCTGAGACAAGAAGTAAATTTTATCATTAATATCCCTAAAGTATAACAATTCATCCCATCTAATATTGTTTAATTCGGTCCAAAATAGTACATATGAAAAATCCCTATAATTTCTATAGGTTACAATTTTTGGTTCTGCACGTATAACTTTAGTTTTAAGTTCACAAAAAATAATACTATGATCTGAGATAGAGTCAGAAGATAATATACCAGAAGTAAGCAACATATTTGAATTGTTAAAAAATATAACATCAATGATTTTCTCAGTAGTAACAGTAACACGAGTTGGCTCAGATACGTATTGTTTAAAATTGAATGAAGCAAAACAATCCGACACTGGATTTTCAAAAGTTTGGTCCACATTTATATCACCCATAAATAAAATGTTATCATATTGAGGAACAGTGAAAGATAAAATATCATCAATATGTTTAACAAAGCAATTTACATTACTATTAGGTACTCTGTACAATACACAAATAAGCAACTTGATTTTGCCAAGTCCTACAGTTAAAAATAATTGTTCAACACCCTCTATAGGATTAAAATCATTTAAAACTTGTGTACAATTCAAGCTACTTTCAACATAGATACCCACACCCCCTCCACGGCCTAAGCGATCTTTTCTGAATAATTCAAAATTAGGTATACTTACAGTTTTTGAGTCCACATTTTCGTTTAACCATGTTTCTGTCACACAAAAAATATTAAACTTATAATATGAAATTAAATTACAAAGAGTATCAAACCCTGTAAAAAGGGACCTTACATTTAAATGCCCTATTTTAATATTTTGTAATACAACCTTATTCATAATTAGTTTTGTCTCTTATTTGTTCAATTTTAAATCTTTTGTAATGACAAACAGACGAAGTAGCACAATGATCAGTCGTTAAGTTTAATTTAAATTTTTGGTTAGCACTTATACAATTTGGACATGAAAAAACTGTGGACGTACAGTCTTTTTTCTCATGGGCCCCACCGCATGTTGGACAGGTACATGATTGAGCACGACAATCCTTTAAAATGTGACCATATTTGTTACACTTAAAACAACGTTTAAGGCTAAAATGTTCTTTGGCTGTGCATCGTTTCCAGCCAATATATAAATATCCCTTGCTTAAAATTATTTTTCTTATATTTGGTGACACTTCTAGAATTAAATTGTAAACATTATTAAACTTAAGTTTGGTAACAATTTTAAGGTCATTTTCATTTGCATTCAAATCATTATAGGTGCTTATTAAAGTTGAAAGATTGACTATATCTATGGATTCGGCATCAACACTATAGACAATTATACGGGGATTAAGCTTTATGGGCTCAGATATATTATATGTTGAACCAACTGAATTTGTTAAACAGCTTTTAAGTTTAGTTACACCTTCTGCATCACCACACCTAATCATAATGCCATTTTTAATTAATTTTGTGTCAACTATATTTAATTGTCTTGGGTTAATTTTAGACTTAATTTCATCTTCAATATTTTTATTAGAGACCGATGGATTAGTTGTTTTCACAAATACAACAGCTGATTTTGTGTTTACATTTTTTACTGCCGCACTATAAGAACTTGTTGTTTCGTTTGATTCACACGTAGACATTAAATTTGCTGTTTTTTGTTCACATTTAAGTATTAACGTTTTTTGTAGTTCGACGGTATATTCCAAATCAATAAAACTTTTATTTAATAATTCATT